GATATTTTTTAACATAACTCATTATCACGGCTAGATTAATGTTTAATGTGGCCTGGTTATTGTTTCACTTCAGGCAGAAATATATAGCCAAGAAGATGAAGCTGGTAGAGTAAGAAGTGTTTAAATTCAACTAAGTGAATTTAGTAAGTAACTAGAAATGCTGATGAATACATTTTAAGAGTTTAACTGCGTTGGGGGAGCTTTAATGAGACTGTATAGATAAAGAAAACAGCCAACTCAAAAAAAACAAACCATTTTGTACTAGAATTATCACGCATTTACAAGAAAAAATATGAAGAGAATTCAGTCTTACTTTGAATGTCAGGATGGCTCACCATGGGTCTTTGTCCTTTACTCCTCCCATTCTGAAGCTTCAAATATAAAGAATAAGGTCACAGTCCCTGTTAGTTTTTTCAGAGTCACATTATGCTACACCTCTTTAAATATTTCTATAGAATTCTTACCCAGGAAAAATCAAAAATATCACATTCACTGTTAAATTATCTAAAGAAGAAGAGCAAGAGCTATTAACTCCATGAATCCTACATCTTGTAGCCAAAGAACAAGGCAACTGTCTTTTTAAGAAGTGAAAATACAATTAACATGTAAATATGCTAAATTAGCATATTAGAATGTTTCAAAAGAGCTCAATAAAGTCAGCTGTCATGGTAATAGTAGATTTGCCATAAAAGCTCCAAGACAGCCCAACTGGGTGTGGCTCAGTGGTTGAGCATTGACCCATGAACAGGAGGTCAGGGTTTGATTCCTGGTCAGGGCACATACTCAATCCCCAGTGGAGGGGAGGGGAAAGGGTGCACAGGAGGCAGCCAATCAATGTTTCTCTCTCATCATTGATGTTTTTATCTCTCTCTCTCTCTTCCCTTCCTCTCTGAAATCAATTAAAAAATAATTTTTTTAAAAAAGAGTTCCAAGACAGAAAAAGCTGTTGAAACATGCAATTGACCTTAAACCTGATCATTTAACACAGAGGCAATGTATGTATGGTTAAGAGTGGGAGTTCTAGCTCAAATAAACCTGGCTATAAATTTAGTTTCTGCCACTTACTAGCTAAGTAACCTCAAGCAAGTTATTTAACCTTTATTTATCTGTCTCTTTATCCTCAAAATGAGGACAATAGTGGTACCTACCTTATACATTTTTGTGAAGGTTAAATGTATTCAAAGCACTCAGGACAGTACTTAGTACATGAAGTGCTTAGTCCAGTTACTGTTTTTTATAATTGCCTAGCTAAACATAAGACACATGTGGGCTTGATTCTCAATAACAGCTACCACTTCTGAGGGCTACCGTGGGATTAATCAGAGAATTAAAGATTGAACCGACCCTTTCTTCTCAGATGACAGGTCCTGTGTAAGGTACACATCCCACATACTGTCAACCATCTGATACGCTCAGCTTTCAAATGACAGTTTCTCCACTGAAGCTATCCTAGCCAAAAGAGAGAAGTAGACTGTTCATTACACTGTCTTTAGCTAAGTCTGTGCGTCTAAAGTAAAGCATGTAACCAGTGACGTAGCCACAGGTTGATGATATTAAGTAGAAGTTCAAGCTCCACATGGATATGCATCACTTTTACATACTATTAAAGATATATAACATTAAGTCGAAGCTAGACTTAAGAAGCATTATACTGAGCCCTTATACGGTGTGGCTCAGGTGGTTGAGTGTCATCCCGTACACAGAAAGGTCAGCAGTTTGATTTCCAGTCAGGGCACAAGCCTATGGTGTATTCGGAAGGCAACAGATTGATGTTTCTCTCACATCAATGTTTTTCTCTCCCTCTTTCTCTCTCCCTCTCCCTTCCTCTCTCTCTAAAATCAATGTTAAAAATACATTTACTTTAAAAAGCATATTGCAAAGAAATAAATGAAATCAAATAAGCATTATATTGCAGTGTCATACAACTTTTTTTTTCTACAATATGTTGGTATCATGTGCCATTTAATGCCATCGTATCTATTTTTATTGATTTGAAAGAGAGGAAGGGAAAGGGATAGAGATAGAAATATCAATCAGCTGACTCCTGCATGTCCCCCATGCAACCAGGGCATGTGCCCTGACCAGGAATCGAACCGGGGACCTCTTGGTTCAGGGGTTGATGCTCAACCACTGAGCAACACCAGCTGGGCTGCCACCATAACTTTTAAAGCACTTTTGCAGCCATGTATGAGTTAATATCTAGGTATCCAGCTCCTAAATCTTGTGAGAAATTCACTGAATTCATGTGCTACAGTGCCTGCTTATTAAATAAATGAATGATCAGGGTCACAGATTAATATAGCAAATTTAAGGATTAGTTTACACACAGAGGATGTGAGTTCTCAATGGGCTACAAAGATAGTGAATACAATTACTTCCATTAACAAAATAGAAAGACAATAGTAAAAATGGGGCAGACTTTTAACTAAGAATGGTAACATAATTTATATTAGAGAGACAATAGCAGCGAAAGCTCAGAAAATCTGAGTCAGCATCCTAAATCAGTTTTGTCTCATCATTTAATATCACAGAGATTCAGAAAGACAAAAGCACGCATACTTGGTTCTTGGAAAACGACAGACATATCTAAGCGATGGCATATCTAGTATGTAGTTTATTACATACACCTCGGTGTAGAGGAAGGCACAGGGACTGGGCCCAGTTCTGGTGATAGCTGTAAGTGAGCAATCACTTAGCGTTCTTTAGGACTATGTTTTCTTATTTGTTCAGTGAGGGGGCTGGACAGTACAATCCTCATCATCCCTTTCAGCTCTGAAATTCTATTGCTCAGTGGCATCTCCTACAGCTCATGTTCTTCATGAAGCTATTTCTATCATAGGGGTAGTTAACGTTTTCATCACATACTTTTATGAAAGTCTTTATCATTTAACCATGAAATTGCACTCTGATCTAAGTCCTCACTACAAATTCCACATATCTTTATACGGGGACGAGGATGAGATTATACTAAGATTGACTTCTCAGAATAAAACATATTTATGTTCACAGATCAATAACATCTCTCACCCTGGCCGGTTTTGCTCAGTGGTTAGAGGGTTGGACTGTGGACTGAAGGGTCCCAGGTTTGATTCTGGTCAGGGGCACATGCCCAGATTGTGGGCTCTGAACTCAGTGGGAGGCTTGCAGAAGGCAGCCGATACATGATTCTCTCACATCATTGATGTTCCTCTCTCTCCCTCTCTGTCCTCTCTGAAATTAATAAACATACATTTTTTAAAAAATATCTCAATAACAAAAATGAAAGGGTTAATCAAGAAACAGGGCTAACTCAGCAGAGGCTAACAAAAGAAAGCTCATTCTGCAAGCCTAAGCCTTGCACACAACATGCTCCCCTTGAGTGGTTATTTTACAGAAATTCCTGAAGACCATAACTCCTGCACAGCCCCCAGGAAGGACAAGGGGCAAGGCCATAAAACTATGACCGACGGACTGGGCAAGGTCCTGATCCGGGCAAGGTCCTAATCCGTGTGCCACCCTAAAGCTATCTCCAAGCGCTCCCTACGCGCATAAAAAGCCTGCTCCCTCCCCATTCGCCACTGATTTCTTTTTCAAACTCAGTCCACCTGCACCCAGGTGCCTTGAGAAAATATCTTTTTGACTACACTGAGCCTTGAGTCAGTTCTGTGCGATCCCGGCCCAACTCTGAACCTTTCAAAAAACACTTTTGCCGACATCATTAAAATAAGCTCAATAAGCTCAATAAAAAGCAAATGCCCAGAGAGGTAAATACAAAAGTATTTATTTGGAATTATTTTTTGTCAAAACAAAAGATGGGAAATAAGTTGTTACATATATATGTTTTATATACACAGGCAAGTTTCTACCACAATTTTTTCAAGTGTTAAGTAGAGTACATAGTGTAAGAATATATATTTTTTTAAATTTCTGAAGCTTTTTCATGCTGGGATTCCACACATTTGCTCCAGACTCACCCTTAAGTTATATGAAGGGTCCTTAATACTCAAGTTTGGGAGAGATGCCTGGAGGCCATTTACATAACTTGTTTCTGCTCCTTGAGCTGTAAGCAGAAGAGAGTTAAGGTTTACCAATTAGTATTAAATGAATCTCCAATGATAGCTCAGTACAAGGTCAATCATCACCTTTGAAAATACCCTAAATTTCCAGCCACCTTACTTAATTCAAAATATCAGATCAGACGACTCTTCTTCCACCAGCATCATTAAGAAAGGACTAAAAATGCTACTCTTGTACTTAATCTTTTATCAGTCATTTGGGATGGAATAGGAGGCAGGGGTGGGGAGGGGCAGTTCCGTAGATCTCTGGGTCTCAGCCATGTCCTTTAGGCTGTGACTCTGGGGGCAGTAGACTGCTAACAGGCCCCAAGCTGAGGCTGAGTCTAAAGGACGATGGGGGCGGGGGACATGCCAGAGAAGGCCAGCGTGAACCTGGTCCCCTTTACCAAGGGAGAGGTTTTCAGCAGAACAGATGCCCTTTTTCATGAGAAGATTTGGTGAAACTCAGAACATATGCAGGAAAGCCATGGAACCCCAGGGACAAGATCCCACCCAGAGCAGGATGGTGATCAGGTCAAACGCTGGAGCAAGGCAGCCGGGCATATCCTCAAAAGCCCTGAATGTCCACAGCACCTCCACCAGGTACAGAAAATAGGGGTGCAAACTCTTTCTTGAAGGTGGGAATGTTAAGAACTGCTTGGTGGCATGTTGGAGAAGGCCAAGACTCTTGGGTCATGGGCGTGGGGGGATGAAGTCAGCAGATCTGGGCTATGAGAGATATAAAGGGAGATGATCTCTAATCACAGGCTGCCAGGGGGCTGTGAACATTCAGGTGCTTTCCATCCACCCAACAATGGATATTTACCAACCAAACCTACCCTGCACAGGGTACTTTCCGTAGACCACGGAAAGGCCAGAATTCTGCTTACCAGACTGCTTGTATTTCTGGATTTTTGTCTTCAGGTCTATTCTGTGGATGTTCTTCAGACATTTTTCTAATAATTCCAATTGATCTGGAGCAACCAGATTTAGCTTCTCCAATTCCATCACAAGATCCAAGAAGCTCTAAGAGAGACACCAACAAGAAATAAATGTCAGTAGGGCTGGCGATTAAGCCTTAAATGCAAAATTCAGGCTGTGGGTTTTTAACAGCCAGAAACGGTGACAAGGGGAGCTCCTTCAGACCTTCAGGGATCCTAAACTAGACTTCGCTGCTTGCTAGGCCTTCCAGGGCCAGGTGCAAATGACTCTCCTGAAGTTTACTCAGCAAGAGGCAGTGGGAAGTCTTTTGGTGGCCAACCTGTGTCTAGGTTGGGAATAGACACGTGGCCATTTTGTGTCATCAAGGAATAGGGTGAGAGAGCGGGCCTAAAAATACAGGAAAATCCTCCCGAGCTGCTTCTCTTTCAAACACTCAGGCTGGTGTTATTGTAAAAAAAAACACTAAGGGCCCTAACCGGCTTGGCTCAGTGGATAGAGCATCAGCCTGCGGACTGAAGGGTCCCAGGTTCGATTCTGGCCGAGGGCACATGCCTGGGTTGCGGGCTCCTTCCCCAGTAGTGGGTGTGCAGGAGGCAGCCAATCAATGATTCTCTCTCCCTCTCCCTTCTCCCTTCCTCTCTGAAATCAATAAAGAAATACATATTAAAAAAAATTAAAAAACACTAAGGGCTTTCCTGAAAAAGGAAGAGAGAAGGTAGTGTGGGGAATCTTTTGACTAGGAAAACCCCAATGATACCGTTTTGAAGTTCCTCACATTTTTAATCAATGCTGGCCATTCCAACTCACTCTGACTCAGAGGATATGAGGAGGCAAAATTTCAAGGTCAGGGCATTTTGTTAGTCAGGCATTGCCTTTGGTTTCACCTCCCTTCTGCTTAACATTTGTTTGCTGACATGCTATTTTTATTCTAAAATAGAATAACCATGCCCTAGCCAGTTTTGCTCAGTGGACAGAGCATCGGCCTGGGGACTGAAGGGTCCCAGGTTCGATTCCAGCCAAGGACACAGGCCCAGGTTGTGGGCTCGATCCCCAGTGCGGGACATGCAATCAATGATTCTCTCTCCCTCTCCCTTCTCCCTTCTTCTCTGAAATCAATAAAATTATATTAAAAAAACCCAACCCCCTACTGTTCTCACTTTCTGCCTTCCCTCACCCCCAGCGAGGCCCTCCCTGCTCAAACGCCTGCTTCCCTCTCTTCACACCATAGAGAGTATCCTCCAGCTTCTGATGGGCTCTTGGGAATATTAACCCAGAAAAAGAAAACGCACCTTATCCTTGGCTGTCTTGCCTCGGCCCATATAATCCTTCATGAGAAAAATTAATGAGGACATATCAGATTTATCCAAATGATCGCCAATCTCAGTCATCAGCACCCTGAAACAGACAAGTTTCTTTAGTGAATTCAGATTGCCAGTCCCAGTGAGACCACCAAGAACCTATGCCTCCTCTATGCCAACAGTTGGTTAAAAGACTAGTTCTTGTCCCCATTGGATGTGCCCCCCATAAGACAGAAAGCCTAGATCACCCCAGACGGAGATCTTAAGGGAACTCCAAAAGAGAACGCAACTTTTCCCCAGTTTTCAGTAGGAGATGGTACTTCTCTTTCCAAATAACTACTCTGCAAACAACTCAGAGAATAAAAACGTCCCTAAGGAATCCCCTAGCTCCCCCAGAAGTTACGAAGAAACAAGTAAAGAACCTGAATGACTAAGATGAAGACACAAATAGAATTGAAAATGATCTTCTCTGTTGAACAACCTCCCTGATGCTGATGCTAATGCTGATCCGGGGACCATACTTTGAGTCACAGGATTCTAAAGCAAACACCGGCTCACTCTGAAACTCAAAGGGAAAGGTCATCGAGAGCCGGGGGATTGTGACCGCAGAGTTCCTGCTCTAGAAAGCCCCTCCTAACTCAGTCAGTCACCTCTGCTCCAGTAAGAGCTACCATCATGCTTTATTGGGCTTAAGGGCTGTTTTCCCAATTAGACTCACAGAATCTTGAGTATGGAAGGGTCTTCACTTACTTTGCTCTAGCACTTTCCAAATACCAGGCTGACCTATATCAACCCACAAAAACAAAAGCTACTTAACAAATAAATAAATAGCCCTAGCCCAGTTTGGCTCAGTGGATAGGGCATCAGCCTGCAGACTGAAGGGTCCCAGGTTCGATTCCAGTCAAGGGCACATGCCCGGGTTGTCGGCTCGATCCCCAGAAGGGGGCATGCAGGAGGCAGCTGATCAATGATTCTCTCTCATCATTGATGTTTCTATCTCTCTCTACCTCTCCTTTCCTCCCTGGTATTAATTTTAAAAAATACATTTTAAGAAATGAATACATAAATCTAGCACTCCCCTCCCATTGCCTGGCCTTTCTGCCAAAAGGCCCTGAGAAACTGCCTCCCCACTCACCAACCATAAGAAACAGTAAATGTTGAGTGCCCCCTAACTTATTCACAAAAACCCAGTCGGTGCCTCCCCAAAAGTTTTAAGGTTACTGATATTATATGATGGTTATGATGCTTGGAGAAGTGGAAAATGACCAAGAATAACAACAGCAACAATTACATTCGCAGAGTGCTTTACAGTTTTAAAAGGTACTTCACATGCTAGATTATCACAATTGAGCCTCACAAACAACTTGTGAAATTAGGTATTCTATTATTCTTAGCTTTACCACTAGGAAAAAGGAGGCCCAACCAACGTTAGTGGCTGGATCAGCCTGTACCTGACAGTTTTGAGGTTTGAATCAGGGCTTCAGACCTCAAGTCTCAGACACTTCCCAAGGCCCACACTGCTTTCAACTCTCTTTAATATATTTTTTAATAACACACATCATCTCCAACTATACATTATTGATATCATAAAGGCTGGTGGCCCAGCTGGTGTGGTTCAGTGGATTGAGCATTGGCCCATGCATCAAGAGGTCACTGGTTCAATTCCCAATCAGGGCACATGCCAGGGTTTTGGGCTCAATATCCAGTAGGGGGTGTGTAAGAGACGGCTGATTGATGTTTCCATCTCCCTCTCCCTTTCTCTCTGCCTCTCCCTTTCTCTCTCTCTCAAATCAATAAAAATATATGTTAAAAAAAAAATAACTCAAGGCTGGTGGTCTGGAGAAAAATGAACTGCTAATTTAAGCAGTTCCCAACAAGTTTTAAGGTTGCTGATATTATATGATGGTTGGAGAAATGGCTTCTGTGCACCCCAGAACCTCCAAGAGCACTTTGCGTGAACAAAAGGAGCAACTTAAAGGCTGTATGAACTAAAGGGGACTCCAGCGGATGTTCCTCTCTGAAGGGGGATGAGAGGTGGTCTTTCTTAGCTTGACATGTCTGGACATGGTAATTTCCATGCTGAGGCTGGAATTTCCATACAGAAGCCTCTGGAAGTGGGAACTTCCCAGAAACTCACAAGAAGGAAGTCCAACCCATTAGTTTCCTCATGAACAATTAGAGTTCCACAAAGATCACCATCTGACATGTTTCTATGTGTTTGGCTCTTTATCTGTTTATGTTGTTCATTATATTCCACAAATGAGTGAGATTATGTGGTACTTATCTGACATGTTATTTCCTTTCTAAATATGGAAAATTTGCCAGGTCTGACATCATAGATCTCAATATGGAAAATTGCCAGGTCAGACATCATAGAAAATAAGCTAACAGAGACCACTGCCGATCTCACAGAGGGGGCAAGAATCACCAGGTCTTGGCCCGGGTGAAGCTCAGTGGGTTAGTGTTGCCCCAGTATTCCAATACTATGCGGGCTGGATTCCTGGTCAGGACACTTACAAGAATCAACCAATGAGCACATAAGTAAGTGAGACAACAAATCTCTCTCTCTCTCAAATCAATAAATTTAAAAAAAAATTTACTAGGTCTTAGTCGTGCCCATTTCTCTTACTCTATCCATAGGGCAAATACATATCATCTATCGCTTCCACTGTCATTATGATCTACTACTACCCAACTAATTAAAGAAAACACCATCTAGAAATTCAGAGAGCTTAAAGCAGTGGTTCTCAACCTTCCTAATGCCGCGACCCTTTAATACAGTTCCTCATGTGGTGGTGACCCCCAATTTCATTGTTACAAATTGAACATAATGAAAGCATAGTGATTCATCACAAAAACAATATGTAATTATATATGTGTTTTCCGATGGTCTTAGGCGACCCCTGTGAAAGGGTCATTCGACCCCCAAAGGGGTCGCGACCCACAGGTTGAGAACCGCTGTGCCTTAAAGGAATGAAGTAACATTATACAGCCGTTGGATCGGTGAGCAGAGGAAGTAATGACGCTGCTTTTCTCACTGTCCTTGTTTCCCTCGTTCAGAAGTCTCGGCCACCTGCTTCCCTCCCAGCCTCGGGCTTACCTGTAGTCTGAAACAAGATGCGGGTGTCCGAGCAGGTGGGCCTCCACGGCCCTTTTGTCCATCTTCAAGATCCGCTTGAGCAGGTCAAACCGCCTCACTCTGTAGAGCAGCTCAGCCAGGCCCATGTGAGACAGCTTTCCTCTCTCATTTAAACTGTCCAAAAGGTCCCTGACGTTAAATGCAGACACATCTGCAACAACATCACGGCACAGAAACAGAAGCATCTCCCTCTCATCTTCATCGAGCGCCTCGTCAATCTGATGAATGACCTCAGCAAACATCCTGCAGAGTGCCTTGCAGGGGCAAGACGCCAGTCCAGTCAACAGAAGGCCATGAGGCCACTGACTTCATTTCTGATGGGCTTCTTCATTTCTTTCAGAATCCTTTCCAATGGAGGTGTTCTGTGGTTAAAAGGGAATTTTTTTAAAAATCTTCTTATCAAAGGAACTTATGCTTAAAATTCAAAATAGGGGCTTTTCCTTCCTTGCTGGTCTCCAGGAGATTAAATTCATATTGTGAAGTCTACAACGAGCGACCCTCAATAGACAAACGGATCCAAAACCAAGACAAAGAAAATGACTTACATTTTAAGGCAAATAAAATCAGAGACAGAATTTCCCCCAAAAACACCCACACGCTTACCAGAAATTATTAGAATGTATGATGTGGTAAGGAATGTATGAAATCATACAAGAAGTTGATTAAACTTGGAAAGAAAATAGGTTGTGACTAAATGGCAAATTTTACTAGAGGAGGAAAAACCCAATTACTAAGCAGCTGTTGAGAGGACAAACGAAACGGGCATCACAAGGGTTAACTTCCTCTTTCAGTGACCAAGCCCAGGCAAGCTGACACAGAGGGACCGGCCCTCTGTGGGGGATCAAAAATAATGGGAGAAAGAGGCATCTATTCCTACTTCTCCTACTTTGAAATCCCTTATTCTACCTGTGAGTAACAAACCTTCACTGCCACCCTCCCAACGCCCCAGGCCTTTTTCACGGCTTCACCATGAATGCTTGTAGGACCCGCCACCACAGCTGAACCTTGTCAACTTCTGATCCCCTTTGTGGCCCCCCTTCCCCCTGGAAGTTCCAGGGCAACAATTGTCACTGGAGTTCCTGACGGTACCAGTGGAAGAAAGGAAGTGGAACAGAAGATGTGGGGAAAGATCCCAGTCCAGGGATGGGATCTGGGTGGGAGTGGTGGGGAGGTCATGCTATGGATACATTCTGAACTTCTTCCAGTGGAGCACAACCTATTTTCTTTCCAAGTTTAAGCTGCAAATGGCAGTCACCATCTATTCTAAAGTTTCATGGCTATGTTTTACGCTTAAAAATGTTAGTGTTCCGGGAGAGTAGTACCTACTCTGTTTCTATCAGAGAACCTTGGGGGTTAAAAGCTAACCACAGCAAATAAATAACTGGAAACACAACCCAACTGCAAGGTGTTGTTGCTACATATTTGCATACAAGTATATTTATATACTTATGTAGCTAAACTTAGTGAAAAGAACACTGAATCTATTTTATTTATTTATAAATAATTTTTATTTATATATAATCTCAGTCCACAAAAGATTTGAGGCATCTTAAATAAAATTTCATAAGCAGGAAAAATTTTTATGCGTAAACAAAGGAAAACATTAGGTTACAAAGTCGAAATGGGTTGGAGTGGTAAATACAATGCAAACACGCAGGCCAGAAAGGCCTAAACAGATTTTAGTAGGCTGTGAATTTGTCCCTGAGCTTCCTGGCAGTCAAAGCAAAATGGGGAATATGGGACATTAAATATATAGTTCTTGCTGTCAAAGAAAAGAAAAACAAAACAGATTCTTAGAGGAAGCACAATTTTCCTAAAATTCCAGAACTATCCATCAATGAAAATATTAAAGAGTCTGAAAGTAATAAAATTACATTTATTTTATTTCTTAAAATTTTTAAATATTTTATTTTAAAATAGACCATTCATTCATTCATACTTTTCACACTGGCCTCCCACTACCAGTGTAAATGGGTGAGCTCTTAATAAAAATAGACATTTTATCTAATGTATACTTGTTAATAAGTATTGATGTGTCTATGCCAATCCCATTCCCATTCATCCAAAATTCACTTACATATGGCCTCTTGTGAATAATTACAGTAATAAAATCTACGAAATTATTGCTCAATGAAAGTAAAAAGTAACTGGTACTCAGACTATTTTTTTCATCTGAAAGCTGAATATTAATTTTATGTGTTTCAGAAAGCCTAAATCTATACTCCACTCATAGGCATGTTAATAGCCACTAGTTTCCATTAAATGAGGTGAAGTTCTTTCTTTATTCACTAAAAGTCACAATTTTGTTAGTAGTTTTTATAAATTAACCTATAAAATATTTATATACAGCCCAGCTGGTGGGCTCAGCAGTTGAGCAATGACCAGGAACTAAGAGGTTACTGGTTCAATTCCCAGTCAGAGAAGGTACCAGGTTGTGAGCTCGATCCCCAGTAGGGGCTGTGCAGGAGGCAACCAATCAATAATTCTCTCTCATCATTGATATTTCTATCTCTCTCTCCCTCTCCCTTCCCCTCTGAGATCAAATATATATATATTTTTTTTTTAAAGTTATAGTCCTTTAATAAAGTACCACATGGCCCTGAAAATAAACTACTACTTCATGAATCTTACAAAGAAAAAGCAAAACAAAAGCAATATTTTTGCCTAGGCAAAAAGCAAATTGCTAAAGCATACATTAAAATCCTAAATGCTTAAAAAATAATACCATACAGGGCACAGTAAAGTAGTTTTACAAGTGTTCTTATGGAAAACAATACAATAATTAATAAAACAAGAATAAACTCATGTTTCGAGTACTCACAACTGTAAACCTACTTTTGCCCCACTGTATATTGTTTAGGGAGTGAGGTGTGTAGTGAAAATATTAAAACATACATAGCAATAATAAATACTGAACTGTTTTCCATGACAGGATGAATGAAATGTGACTAGATAAAAATACAGAGGCTGAACCTGAAATATTTTGAAATGACTGAATGTGTAATATTTTGCTTCATAAGCCGGACATTAGGTATACAGATACTAAAATAAATATACCTCATACCACATTCTCTGAACACAGTACAATAAAAATTAGAAAACAGTAGCAAGCCAAAAGGAAACCTTATAGATCTTTAAAAAGAAAAATTAGCTTCGGTCTCTTCTGTACACGCATTTCACAGCATCCAGAATGCTTTCAGAGCTTCCCTGGTGCACATATAGACAGGCTTTAGAACAAGGAATCCTAGAGGCATCCCAAAGTTATCCTCAAAAAGAACCAGTCAGATTGTACTTAACATGACTCAAAAGATGTGGCCAGGGGCAAGGGGGGGCGGCAGCAGGTGTAATGAGGTCTGCAGAGTTCTGAGAAGGCTGGTGCCCATGGCTTGCAGCCCCACCCTGCCTGTGCTGCCCGCTCTGCACACCACTCACCTCCTCTGAAGTCACTTGCTTCGCCTCACTTGGATGAGGGACAGAGGGGTTATGTGAGCCCATTCTTTTCTTTCCTGCTTTTAAATGCCCAGACCTCCTGATTCATCAACATTAAATTAGTTTCATTTCACTCTACTACAGTAAGCCTTTTCTAGCCAGATGAAACTGGTATCGATAGGTATATAGAATTCTTTAAAAATTTCCCTTTTCTACTCCCCTGCCCTCTTCTGTCAAATTGTAACTTGATGATGATGCCTCCCCCTTCTTCCACCCCCATACCCTGGTACAAACTGTTCGATCTTCACAGTGAGGCGCGAAACCCAAGACCAGTTGCAGTTTCATTTCTCGAGTGGGATTTAAATGATCATTTTAAAAAAAAGTCAGCTGTAAATTTCCAAAGTGAATCTCCACAACTTTGGAACGTATGCCAATAGAACATGTGCCAGGTTTTAGAAACAGAAATGAGGTATTTTCCATGGAAATACCTTCAATATGGTATTTCCAAACTGCAGCAAGGGCTAGGGGAAGGGGCTCTTGGCTGGGCTCCTGAGAAAGATTCCTGGGACTCCCACAAAGACCGTATCTCAGTGGGGAATCAGGAGGCCGCCACAGGGAGAACTGAGCTCAAGAACACCCACGGTGACCCAGCTACCAGAAGGCAACCCACCGCCGCCACACCTGCCTCCACCAATGCCACACCTGGTGACTGGACACCTAAACGCTGCTACCCACATCCCCAAGTCATCACCACCATGCTTGCCAGCAGAGAAACGGAGAAAAGCAACCAGCTAGTGGCCTCTACCTCACTGCTGCTTGTAAATCTTGCCGGAATGCACCTAATTGGCAGAACTAAAGTCACATCCTACTTGTAAAGAAGCGGGGGAAATGCAGACTATAGTTGTCCGCCCTCTGGACAGAGGTGAGAATGGGTCCTGAGGACCAACTGACATTAGTCACCACGGAAGGATAGTCCATGAAGGCACTCCCGTCTTCTTTCTGGTTAAATTCTCTGTGTGGACCCCAGTGCCTGACTCATAGTAGGCACTCAATTAATACTTGTTGAATGAATGAAGGTATGATCACAAATTACTACCAAGTAATAGCCTCACTTTCCTTTCTCCCCAGACTGGACTGAGAGCATAAGCTACAAACTCTCGCCAGCTAGCACCCTCAATTCTCTTGCCATGTTGCCTCCTGGCCACCAGCTCTGCAACACCTTGAGTGACCAGCTGGTCCTGATTTGCCAGGACTTCCCAGTTTTAGCACCAAAAGTTCTGTGTCCCAGAAAATTCCTCGGTCCAGGAAAAAGCAGAATAGTTCATCACCCCAGCATCCCATCCTCAACGGTGAGCCTCCTCCACACATACGTCCAGAATAGCAAGTCTGGCTGAAGGGGGTGGGGGAATCATACCACACCCTTAGGTTTTCAACTTCAGCAGCTCCTTACTGCTGCTCTGAAACCATTTTTACAGGACCTTGTTCAGCTACTTTCCCATAGCCTCACAATGGCTCCACCCCCGCTGGTCCCTTCCATCCTATCACCACCCAGGGGTGCGGGTTATCAGATGACTGACATTTACCAGGGTTGAACTCCAGTAACCTTCCACATTCCCACTGTGGGGCTGGCACTTGTTGTCCGTCAGCTTGCCCAGGGCCAACCACTCCCCTTGTGCCCTCCTGTCTCCATGAGCTCTTTGGTCAACCTTTCCCTAGGCCCAGGATCTCCTTCCCTCAGCTTGTTAACATGTTAAGGTCTCTTCTATCCTAAAAAACAGCAACAACAAGAAAAAGCCTTAAGCCTCAGATCTCCTAGATCAGGGGTGGGCAACCCCTGGAAACCCTCTCTTATAATCTTCCATTTACAATTTTTGTGAACATTTGAATGACTTAAATGTTAAATTACAAGGAACTGGCAAG